TCAGGAGAATACTCATTTTTTAATAGTCTTTCCCTTTCATATCCCTCGGCCCACCAACTTCATTTTTATATCATCTAGTCCAATACCACATTCTAAAGATAAAGAAATTTCAAATCAAAGAAAGAAAACTTACTTTATGGTCAAAGAATAATTTTGCCCTCTATCGTTTCTCCTCTCTTCAAAAAATAGGCAAATCTTCAATAAAATTTTTTTTACAATTTAATAATATAACAAAATCAAATAAGTTGGCAAAAATTGGAAAGTTATTTTTTTAAATGTATGAACTGTCAGTTGGGGTTGGGAGTGGAGCAAAGGGGTAAATTGACCCTTTTTTGTGTATTCCTGTATTTTTCAAATGCTACTACAAGTGTGGGTAGTGTAAAAATATTGTTTACCAAATTAAATAAAAATCTGAAAAATACATAACTTTTCTAAAGAGAGCAAGGCATATAACATGTAGAAATCCATGTTTTCACCATAATAAAGAACATAATTTCTTGTGCCATGTTTAGGAATATTGGAATTTTCAGGACACATTGGTCTATGCAATAATAATAAAATTAATATATAACAATAAATATATTTACAGTAATAATTCTATAATAGAAATCATAACATGATTTTATTAAAATCTTGTATGATTTGATAATTCTATATTTTATACAATAATTAAATACTAAATTCATAAGAATAAATGTATATTATCTCTATGCAATGACAATTAATTAATTGTTTTAATTGACTTGATTGATTAATTAATTAAAAATAAACATGATTGACCCTGGCTGGGTGACTCAATTGGTTGGGGCATTATCCCATAAACCAAAGGGTGCGGGTTTGATTCCCAGTCAGGGCACATACCTAGGTTGTGTATTTGATCCCTGGGTTCAGGGTGCATACAGGATGCAACATATCTCCCTCTCTGTCTCACTCTCTCTTGCCCTCCCTTTTTCTCTAAGATTAATATTAAAAAATATCCTCAGGTGGGGATTAAAATAATAATAGTAATAAAAAAACTTGGTTAGTCAGGGACCAAAGTTCCGCTAGCCTGCTTAGATATAATCTTAAAATCACTATATAATTTATAAATTCCCATATTTCATCAATAAGAGAACACTATATCCTATTTTCAAATGGCCGGTAAGTCTCAAAATTACCCTCTTTTGGAATTTTCTATTTTCCAAAAGGGCATTGATAATTACTTCAGTTTGTCTTTGTTAAGACTGGTATATTTCAGTTTGGGATATTGGAGAGGCTTACTCCACATAGGTCATTTTTTCAACCAAGTACTCCAAATTGTATTTATTTATTTACCTGACATGTGATCAATGTCAGGTGATCAATGTGTATATATGCCACATATTTGCAATAGTTCTGTATGCTGAAAATTCAGCAATAAATGTCACATAATATTGTTTTCCTGGTAGAGATTTTATTCTTATGGGGAAACAGGCAATGTGGGATAATGATTTAAATTACATAGATAGGTATATGGAGATAAGTTAGACTAGAGATTAGATAGATAGACAGACACACAGACATTCAGGCAGACAGATGGTTGTATAAGTTGCATAGAATAAAGTATGTTAGAGATCAGAAGAAGCTGGGTGATAGGGAAATGAACAGAGATTAGGCAGTAAAATATGTTTGAATCAAAATAGATCACAGACCTAAATATATAATGTAAAAGTGTAAAACTCATAGAAGAAAACATAGAAGCATATCTAGATGACTTTGGGTTTGCTGATGACTTTTTAGATATAACACCAAAGGCACACTACACTCCTGTTAGAAAGGTCAATATTCAAAATGCTGACACCACCAAATGCTGGGGAGGGTGTAGAGCAATGGAAAGTCATTGCTGGTGGGATGCAAAATTGTACAGCCACTATAAGAGACATTTTGGAGGTTTCTTTTGTATGATGTGTATGTATGTGTACATGCCTATATATGTGTGCATGCATGTATGTATATATTGAGTTGTCCAAAAAGTCTGTATGAATTTGTTCTATAAAATAAGAGACACATTGTTCATTTTTATCAATAACTTCATTGATTTGAATATTTTGTCTATGTCAGCTGTGTTACACCACATGTTGTAATAGTGATGGTCCTCAACTATGTCTCAATGTGATCACTGTCACTTCAACTGGTGTATCCTACTGTGGAGCATCATCCAGCAAGAAATCTCCATCACAAAACTTCCCAAAACACTTTTACATGTCCAATCAGTCACAGCACCTTCTCTATACACTGTGCAAATCTTTTTTGTGTGTTTTTACCTTTCTTTAACTAATAAATCATAATATGCCAAAAATTTTGTGCATTTTCTTCCATCTTCAATATTAAAATGGCTACACAAAAATTCACCAGTTTTGATAAGTTTTTTTAAATGTATGCTGATATGACAACTGTCACAATACAATCTAACAAAATTGTTTTGGATAAAGACAAGTAAGTGTTAGTTGAGCCATCTTATGAAAGAAAAAATAGGACTCTGGTCAACCCATATATGTATGCATGTATGTGTATATGTACACTTGTATGTGTATTTTTACATACCAAAATGATATATATATATATTTAACATATATAATTGATGACTTGATGAGTTTGAGATAATATAACCTGTGAAACCATCTCTGCGATCTATGCCATAAACATACCTTATAATCTCTACTTAAGGTGCTTTTTGGGTTTCCAAGTAAGATATAATGGCTGATTGGACTTCTAGTGTGGAAGTGGTAGATACACAGTAAATAGAATATTTCAAATATTTTGGAGGCAATCAGGCAGAACTTACTGAAAGACAAGCAGAATGAAGAAAAAAATAATTATGAATGACCCACCAGTTTTGAATTCAGTCACAGGTTGTTAGTTTCAGTTACTGAGCTGGCGAAAACTTGGGGGCAACCAGGTTTAGGTGGATGGGTGTCTTTTCTTTGTGACATGTTAATTTTGAGATGCCTGAAAGATAGTCAAGTAGTTGCTTTAATTTAAAATCTAGACATATTAATTTAGAGCAGAGTGGATTAGTCAGTGCTGGCTTTAAAATATAGAATTCAACAGCATAGTAATGGGGTATAAAGGGATGAGAATGGGTGGAATAGCTTAAAAATACATGTAGAGAAAAGGGGCTAGAATAAAAAGACTGCTATTGGAATTGGCTACATGGGCATTCTTGGTGACTTTGGTGCATTTCAGTAGAATGGTCAAGGCAGAAAAAAATTTTTTCACTATGAGTTAAATTTGAATCTAAAACATGACTTTTGAGTATCACATAAGAGAAGAATCTTAAGAGCTTTTTTTTTATGAAAGGAGAGATTTAAAATGATTCCCTAACTCCTCAGAGAGGTATTAACATTTGCACAGAAGTTTAAAAATCTGAACAAGAAATTTTATAAGCAAATGGAGAATGAGGAGTCTCCTGAAAAGGGGCAAGGAGAACTATGGGGCAGGATTTGACTCTGGCATTACAGCTCTTACGACTGATCCAGTCAGCAAGGTAGGGCCTCCTGGAAAACCATGAGATACAAGGACCATTAATCCTTAAGTAGGTGATGTAGGGGGACAGCAGCCAATGTTTAGTAGGCAAAACAATTTTACCTCTTGTTTTAAAGAAAGCTCGTTCTTGAGAGCATGTTGGTAGGAAGCTTCTTCCTTTATTATCAAGCTTTCTCTTGTATTCACATTTTATGGTGTCAAGATAAAGGAGGAAGAAAGTCCCTTAGAACGTTCTGCAACAATGTTGAGTTTATCTAAGAGAATATTTTAGATCAGAAGATATTTAATTGTCACTAATTGGGAAGTTCAAGGGTTTGCATTTTTTTATTATGCTGAATTCTTTCACATTAATTGGACTTATGGTCACAGGAAAATTTAATATAGTTATGAAAATATAAAGTTGTTTTCCTATATAAATAATATGTAGATATCTCATTGTGTTAGACTCTAAATGCTGCTTAATTTGGTTTTCCGCATGTATTTAGCAACTTATCAGGAACCTACTTAATATACCTACTCAGGTTAGTGATTTGGACAATAATAAAATGGGGATAAGTTAGACACCATTTTCTATTTAAAAGACAAAAACACTTATAATAAATAATTGTTAAAGTTATAACGTACCATCAAGCAGTCTCTTCTCCCTCATGAAAAATAATTCTACTTCCCTTAACCTTTTCATTAATCTTCATTTATGTGGTGTTTTCACCAAATTCTTCAAATTTTTCTTATGATGAGAAAGTTAAAATTCGATAAAATTCTAGCCAAAATCTAATCAGCAGATTACAGAGATTTTATTAAAGTGGTGTCAATTTAAACCTATAAATTAATTCAATCATTTAATTCATTTTGACTTAAAATAAAACAAAATTAACTTACCAACTGTGTTTAACCTGACTGGAAGTGGAACATTCAACATCCATGAACCTGGTTGTAGCTATTTACACTTCAGAGATGGTGGTATAGTGTTCCAAGAAAGTAACAATATTTTTTTCTTTTATTTTTTTGAGGAATAGTACCTTTAATTTGAATTTATATTTATTTGAAAGTAGACTTTCTGAAATTTGTTTGACTTCTTCTCATGGCCTCTGTGGTTTTATACTTAAATCTGTGGCTGTAACTTCAAATTGCTTGAAGCAATGGACTCCAAATCTACCTTCTTGAATTATATCAAAACCTTCATCGATTTTTTTCATATTTATAGATTCAATATCATTAACTTCTGCATCCTACATGAATATTATTTTAATCTTCCTAGGAATCTTTCATTTAATCCTTTATATCTCCAAATTTATCATAAGTATGCTTCAAATCCATCAGTGTGAATCAGTTAATTTTTCTTAACATCATTCTTATATTTTTATGAAGATTTTCTGTCTTTCTTTGTATTGTTCTTTGCCTCATTTTTGAAAGTATTTGATTAAATATTTGAACCTACCCTCTTCACTCACAGATTCAGTTTCAGACTCTTAAACTTTCGAATCATTGTCCAATGCCTACTTGCCCTTCTTTAATTCCTTCTTTGATTCCTTCTTTGATCCCTTCTTTAATTCCTTCTTTGATTCCTTCTTTAATTCCTTTTTTGATTCCTTCTTGGAATCTTTTTTTGCATCCTTCTTCACATCAGCAGATTCTGGGTCACTGTCTGCTTTGGCATCTTTCTTGGAACTTTTCTTGGCATCTTTCTTGCCCTTTGATTCATCACCTTTTTCACTGGATTTTATTGTATCTTTTTTCTCATCTTTAGCCTCTTTTGCATCTTTTGTTGCATCTCCAGATTCTGCAGCTGACTTCTTGCCCTTCTTTGAACTTTTATCTTTTGAGTCTTTCTTTGTGTCTCCTTTTTCCTCTTCTGATTCTGAACCAGACCCCTTGCCCTTCTTTGAACCTTTCTTAGATTTTTTTGAGTCTTTCTTTGTGTCTCCTTTTTCCTCTTCTGATTCTGAACCAGACCCCTTGTCCTTCTTTGAACCTTTCTTAGATTTTTTTGAGTCTTTCTTTGTATCTCCTTTTTCCTCTTCTGATTCTGAACCAGACCCCTTGTCCTTCTTTGAACTTTTCTTAGATTTTTTTGAGTCTTTCTTTGTGTCTCCTTTCTCACCTTCTGATTCCGTAACTGAGCCCTTGCCCTTTTTTGAACTTTTCTTATCCTTTTTGTCAACTGTTTTTGCACTGTCTGTTTTTTTGCCTTTTGTTTCTGTTCCTAAAGCCTGCGCTTTCTTTGACTCTTTTGTAGATTCTTTTGACTCCCGTGAAACTGTGGATTCAGCTACCAAATCTAATTGGTCCTCCTTGTCTTCTTTATTTCTCTTACCTATTGTTGTGGATAAAGGTTTCTCTACACTGCGGGGATGAGTTGCTTTATATGGAGGCTGTCTCCTGGCAGCTAAATAAACTGATGGTTTTTCGGAAATCATCATTAAAGACCGGTGCATCCATAAGGGTCGTCTAGAACCTCCCGAAAATTGGTCTTCATTATATTTCTGTAATATTGGTTAGAATAATTATAAATAATGTGTATGAGTTGCACAGCCTTTGTTACCAGATACCAAAATACATTTTAACTTCAATAATGAAAATATTTTAGGTTTTAAGAAATAGCAAATAAGTTGTAGATTTTATAGTTAATTTTTGCTTTTCCAATTTTATTCTTCTTGAACTATTGCTGGACATGCCTAATTTTAGATCTAATTTCAATTTAGAGTACTTTCATAACTCCTACATTATTGTATATTAAAATTGATACAGACATTCACTTACTAATGACATACCAGAATCTCTCTTCACAGGCTGGAAAAGGCTTTTTTTTTTTGACTCTGTGTTTTGAATTCTTGAAACATCTTTCCTAGTCTCCATTCTGAGACTAACTTGGAAACTAACTATTTTCTAATATCTAACAGTTTTCTGTTCAGGCAGATCCTAGTCTCTGTTGATCCATTCAAGGTCTCTGGAACTTACAATGCTAATGGTAGTTAAAAGTAAAAGCCTGAAAATCAGCCTGCATGGCAAGATATAAATTATCCTCACTTATGAAACTGCAACAATGAAAAATACAACGTTCGGTACATATTAATTTGTGTAGAATGATGCATTTTGTTTTCAACTTGTGACCAAATATTTGCAAAAACTTAATTGCAAAAAATAGGAAATTTTGGAAGGAATGTTAACAAATCGTGGGAAAATAAATTGGACAAAGAATAAAAGAAAATATGAGGAGGCAGAAGAAACCTGGATCAGTACAGATTGGATACATTTCCTAAAATAAACAAGAGTTGATGATACATTTATCTTGTGAAAACTTTTCTTTTCACATTTTTATATCCCCTGATGACTTCAGAAACCTTGAGAAATATTTATCTTCCAAATTCAGAATCCTGAATTCTAAATTACAGGAAATGAGGAAGCATTGAAACTTCATCAAAAAGTATAATGATTCAAATGAGGAGATTTCTCCAGCTGGGTAATATTTTTCAAATGTTTACACTAACTGTGGCATTAGGATCTACAGATTTTTGTGCTTTTGGATATATATTTTCTATATTGTAGGTTTACTGAGCAAATAGTTAATGTGAAATAAAGGATACATTTTTATACAGTGAAATGCAAATAAAATACATTTACTCTCTTCAAGTAGTAGAATTTGAATTACCTTTAACTTTACTGTCTCATATGACATTTAAGAGCCACATGTGAATTAAATTGAACTAAAATATAAAATTCGATTTCTTAGTAACACTAGCCTCATTTTGTGCTAAATAGGTACATTGGTATGTAAATAATTAAAGTATTTCCATCATCGCATAAATCTCATTGGTCAGTGATGATCTATTATAATATATAACTATATGTGACTTTATAAGTTTATAACTAGGAAAATTGTATGATCTTAATACTCACAGAAAGTGTATTATTTTGTAATTGGGAAGGTCTTGATCTCATTTTTGTTCCTGGCCGCTGTGGTTTGGGAAATTCTAGGGCAAAGTGTTGTTGATTCCATGATTTTTTGCTTAATTCACTGACTAAAATAAGAAAACATTAAATATACACTTTAGAGTAAGTAGTATTTCATCAAAACTAATAAGGCAGCTAGGTATTATATTTCATGTAAATAAATAAACAAATGATTAAAATTTTGTCTTCATTTACTTGGCAATGTTTGAAATTCTCTACTATTACTATGAGAAAACAAAAATTGATTTTTCTATTCTTCCCACCTTTACAGAAAACTATATGAAGTAGTGATAGTAAAACAAATATAGTTTGTAAGATAAATAATGGAAGTAAACCATTTTACTGCTTCCATTTAGGCTTTCTATCTAATCCAGTCTAGATTTTTGTCTTATACTTTTTTGGTTGGAATATAGTTATACTGAGAACAGAAAACATGGCAACTACTTCTGAAGCCTTCCACATAATTAGTACAGTGCCTATTATAAAATGTTCAGGAAATATAGGATTGACTCTCAATGCTTATGTTTTAGATCAGTGATTTTCAACCAGTGAGCCCAGCAGGCAGCAGGTGCGCTGCAAGACATGTTAAAACATGTTCTCTCTGAATATTTAGCCAGGGGTGCTGTCCTCCTTTCCTTTAGATTGTCAACTAAAACAATGACAAGAGCCAACACAACAGCAGCTGTCGGGTTTGAATGAATCAACATTATACCTTCTTTTGTCAGATAGGCAAAAGATATGTTTTTTGGTCTGTGGCAGAATTATAGTAATGTTTTTGTGTGCCACGATATAAAAAAGATTAAAAACCGCTACATTAGATCTTCTTAGTTTATAATCAATTTCCAAGCTACAATAGTAGATGTGGTGTACCTAAGAACTGCATTGTTAGAGGTGGAACACAAGAAATTGACAAGAGTACCTACAGGACTGTGCCTGGAAGTCTAAAGTTACCTGTAAACTAGAATGGAAATAAAGACATTTAGCTTACCAATGGGACAAGTGAGAGAAGTACCTGCACTGTGTTTGAATGTGTGTGGTAATACTGTGCATAAGTGAAAATAGCCTTGTCCTGTGCATCTCCTAAAGACAGAAGCAAGAGCAATGAGAAAATACACAGAATGAAAGGCATGTTTAACATCAGTATATGAGGGAAAATTACTTGATGTATGAAGTCTTCCAATACAAGTTTGCCTGGCCTTGTCAAGCAATACATTTTTTTGGCCAATTTAAACCCTGATAAAAATCTAATGAAATGGAATAGAAGACATTTCTAACATGAGTGAGAAGTTGTATATTCAATTTTTCCACTGCTTTTAACTGTAAGATTATGTGATTGATTTCTAACATGTCTATGTACACCTCCATGGTTCTATACATATTTGCTTAATCTTCTTTGGCTATAGAACCAAAACATTTTTAGAAAATATTCACTGAGCCCATGAAAAAGGTATCTTGGAAAATAAAATGTTGATTTTTAATAATATTCCATTATAGCTATTGCTTTAATCACACTTTGAATATAATCACATATTGAACTATTTCCTACCTGGAATATAATTATCTTGTGCCCCAAAGTTTACTTTTTGGCTGTTAAAATAAGAGGGAAAGGTTTTAGTTAATTTATACAAAAAGCACTCTATTAATGATCATGATTATGCTTAAGCACTTGCCACCACCAACTAGAGAAACACTTTGCATGCTCAAATTTCTATCATTATGTAATATTATTTGGTCTCAGAGATGAGACTATGTGTTTGCCTTTAGAACAAACTTTAACATAGTTAAAACAACAGGAATAGAGTATAAGAAAAAAACATTAACTTTTCATATCTAAAAGCATTTTTTAAATTTTGAGGTAAGGTGAGTGTAAGGAACAGTAAATAGGTATAGTGTGTGAGCAAATAGAGTTAATCACTACAGTAATAGAATTCAGGGACCTGTACGATGGGCTAAGATCCGGGAGATGTGTTGCGAAGTATTTACTGTTGAATAGATCAGCTATTATTTACACTAATATTAGAGCAGCACTCATATAACAAACTCTATGTACATATACACAATGGAATTCTATGCAGCAGAGAGAAAGAAGGAGCTACTACCCTTTGCAATAACATGGATGGAACTGGAAAGCATTATGCTGAGTGAAATAGGCCAGGTGTTGAAAGACAAATACAATATGATCTCACCTTTAACAGGAAGCTAAATAACAAAACAAACAAGCAAGCAGAATAAAAACAAAGACACTGAAATAGAGAAGGACAGTGACTAGAGGGGAGAGGGAAGGGAATCTAAAGGGAAAAAAGGGGAGGGATTTGGAGAAACAAGTATGAAGGACACAGGGACAAGAACTAAGGGGAGTGGAAATGGGAGGGAGGTGGGGAGCACGGGGTAGGGGGGGACTGGGATGGGAGAAATAGACAAAAAAACTGTACTTGAAAAATAACTAAATAAAAATTAAAAAATAAATAAAATAAAAAATTGAAACCATGATTGAGTTCATTTCCCCACCTCAGGCTCCAAATGTCCTTCCAACACAATTTTAATTGAGACAGCACTTTGAAAACATTATGTGTAAGTAAAACCAGATTCTAAAAATATTTTCAGGACTTAACTAAATCCAGATCATTCAATGGCATATGTATGTGTATGAATGTGTTTATGTGTATGAGTGAGTCAGTATGTACCACAATATTGACATTAATTTCAAATTTTTTTGTTCTCTATAAGATCTGAGAAGTAAAATTATGATGCAAAGTATTCTCAAATAATATTTTCCTTTGTTTTATTACTATATGAACATATTTGTCTCTACAAAGTTAGTGTCATAGTCTACTTTTCATATGGAGGCAAATATTATAATTTATTAGAGAAATATTATTCTAGATTTTCCCAATATAAAAATAGAATCATTGTTGGTCTTACACAAACACACACAGAAACAAACACATGCTTACACAGTGTTTTACTTACTTTGGCATAAGTATAAAAAATGAACTACATTTTTACAAAGTATCTTGATAACTACATAAAAGCTCTAGTCAGCATATCTGACACATTTTAAAATTTATTAGTCTTTAAAAATCTTGAATGAAATAATTGAATAAAATTAGGGTGTGTTGAGTAAATACCTGGTCTTATGTTGTTTTTTTTTTTAAATCTGAGAATGTGCATTAAAATTATTTGCCTCACTATTTCTGAATCTCTAGTTTTGTATCCAACCAACATAGAATTATACATTGCTGAAGAAATTTGATATACAACCACGGTTATCAACTACTCTGTTCTAAATGCTCTGAAAGATTACATATTTCAGGTTTATGAAACAGTAGCATTAAATTTGAGATTTACAAGTATTACATAGGTATGGTCCATTAATTCTCTGTACAATCTCTAGTTCATATTGTCTGATGACCAAGCAGTTAACTTAGAAATCAATAACAGAATTATAGAGAAAATATATAAAAACTGGACAGTGAAGAAAGCTGATAGAAGAAAAAATGATTCACTTGAAATATGGCATTGGAGGCAAACTCTTATAGATACCTTTGGACTGTCAGGAAGACAATCAAGTGAGTCCTAGAGCAAATTAAGCTTGAAACACAGCTGGAGGTAAAAATGACAAAACTGAGGCTGTCCTCCTCCAAGCACGTTGTGAGAAGACAGGGTTTTTTGGAAAGGGCAATAATGCTGGGGGAAAATAGAAGGCAACAGGAAAAGAGGAAGACCAAATATGAGATGGATTGACTCCATAAGAGGAGACACTAAAATGAGTCTACAGGAACAGAGCAGGGCTGTTGAGTATAAGACACTGTGGATATCATTCATTCATTGAGTCTGCAGGAGTCTTAGCCAACTCAGTGTCATGTAACAACACAAATATTTGAAAAATAAGCAGTTCCTTCTAAGCCAGTGGTCAAATAGAAATCAGAATACATATTTATCTAAAAAACAACTGAACAACAATATATTGAAAATTGTGAGTTACTACTTATAATTCATACAGTAGGATTTATAGCTTTAATTCCTTATATTATAAAAAGTTTAAAATCAATGTTTTAAATCTCCACTTTAAAATTAGAAAAATATTGAATCAAAGTTAAAGAGAGAATATTATTGATCTATAAGCCAAAATCAATGAAAGAGAAAATAAAATTAGAGAAAACTTAAAATTCTAAAGTGTGGATTTTTATAAAAGATTATTTAAATGGGTTGAGTTCTAGAAAGACTGATGAAGGCAAAAAAAACCACATTACCAATATTAGGACTAATGCAGGGTTTATAATTATATACATTTTGAATTATAATGAGGAATCTCATTAACAACTTCATGGTAATAAATTCAGCAAGTGAATTAGATGAGCTCCCTGCAAAACTCAGTTTATTTATAAAAACTGGTACATGATGAAATAATAAAAATGTGAGTAGCTCTATAATTATTATGTTAGTTCATTATCAAACAGAAAAACAGAGGCTCAGACCATTTTACTAATAAATTAAATGAAAAATTTAAGAAAAAATACTCCACATAAATTTTTCAGAAACAAGTAGTCAAATGATATTTCAACTCATTTTTGAGACCAATATAAAATCCCTAACCCCCCGAACCTCTCAGACATTACCAGAAAGAAATATAAATCAATAAACATGAACCCAGACACAAAAATTTCTTAACAACTTATTAACTAATCTTATCAAGCAATATATACAATGGCTAATGTATCATGACCATTGAAGTTTACTCTCTAGAATGTAAAGTTGGTTTCACATGTTTACATCAATCACCGCAATCACTGTAAATATAAAAATAAGAATTTATCTGATCATCTCAAGGCACATAAAAGACATTTTGGATTAAAGAAAAGTAACATTCATTTATAATTAAAAACTCTGAGAAAACTAGGAATAAAAGACATCTTCCTCAAATGAATAAAAAGTGATCAGGTAATACCATTAAAATGAAATCTAATGGTGGAATATTGACCATTTTTTCCCTACAAATCAGAAACAAGGTAAAGATACTCAGCCTGCTGTTCAACCTTGTAATCCACACCCTATTTTGTTCCATCAAGTAATAAAAGCACCAAGATTGGAAAGGAAGTAATAAAATTATTTTTATTCACAAAAGACCTAATTGAGTAAATAGACTATTCAGTGACATCTATAAATATCATTGTTTAGTTCTCTTATGTGTATGTAGTAAAATTATATGATACAAAGCCTAATTATAAACTGTATATAAAATTATATATCTGTGACTAGAAAATGGGAAAACATAAATTTAAGAAAATGTAGTTTACAATAACATAAAAATATTTAGAATTAAGTTGAAAAATATAGGCAAGACCTGTATAGAAAAACTAAAAATTTTTACCAGGAGAAAATATTCTGATTAGAAGATGCCCTTTATACCTACTAAAGCAGAAAAACTAAAGACTAATGACATCAGCAGTCAGCAACTTTGTAGACCTTCTGACATGTCCAGTATTGGTGGTGGGTATAAAAATGATACAACCATTTTGGAGCACCATGTGATATTTTTTTAAAGTTATATATATTCTATGTATGATTAATTATTTCCACTATCACTTCACCTAAGAAAAGTCTACAAAAGAATTGGAAAAATATGTATAGCAGCTTTACTCATAATAATGCTGAACTAAACTCAAATATCCATCATCAGGAGAATGGGTAAACTGTGGTATATTCATGTTAATGACATATTTCTCAGTGACCTAAAGGAATGACTTACTGATATATGCAATATGGCAACATGGATGAATCCAAAGAAGTATTTTATGAAAGAAAATATCAGAGACAAAGCGTATACTGTATGATATAACTTCTATGAATTTCAAGAAGAGGCAAGACTGTTTCAGGTCACATAACAGCTATTTGTGGGAGAAGGGCAAAGTGAGTTGACTGGAAACTGGTACAATGTAACCTCATGGTGTGGTTGATGATGCCTGATTCTTTTTTTTAAAAGATTTTATTTATTTTTAGAGAGAGAGGAAGGGAGGTAAAAAGAGAGAGAGAAACATCAATGTTTGGTTGCCTCTCACATGGCCCCCACTGGGGACCTAGCCCACAACCCAGGCATGTACCCTGACTGGGAATCAAACTGGTGACCCTTTGTTTCACAGACCGTGCTCAATCCACTGAGCTATACCAGCCAGGGTAATGATGCCTATTTCTTTTTTTAAATATATTTTATTGATTATGCCATTACAGTTGTTCTGTTTCCCCCTCTTCATTTCCCTCCACCCTGCACACCCCCTCCCCCAGTATTCCCCCCTTTAGTTTATGACCACGTGTCTCAAGTCCTTTAGATTCTATATTTCCCATACTATTCTTGCCCCCCCCTCTATTTTCTACCTACCATCTATGCTACTTATTTTCTGTACCTTCTCCCCCCTTCTCCTTCTCCCACTCCCCTGTTGCTAACCCTCCATGTGATCTCCATTTCTATGGCTCTGCTCCTGTTCTAGCTGTCCTCTTAGTTTGCTTTTGTTTTAGGTGTGGTTCTTAATAACTGTGAGTTTGCTGTCCTTTTACTGTTCATCTTTTTTATCTTCTTTTTCTTGGGTAAGTCCCTTTAACATTTCATATAATAAGGGCTTGGTGATAATGCCTATTTCTTAAAGTTGGTTAGGATAGTGTTAGTGACAGTTTAATATATTTAGGTCTCTTTCATTTTTATTGAGAAGAACTTTTTGGACACCTAAATAACAATGATCCACATACCTTTATGTAAATGTACATATGTCATGAGCAATTATTAACTTTTTGGACTAGAGAGCATTTTCCCACTCTTTCCTCTAAGTCTTGCTCTGTTGGTGACAGCCTCTCTCCTTTGCTTCCCTGGGACATTCAAGAGATTTTCTAAAATCAGAATGCATTTAGATTCAATTTTTGAAGTTTCTTATTTAAGAAAAAAGTTGTTTGTGCATCTTTTATTATTTTTATTTTGAAGTCATTTGATATGAATATATATTTATTTTCATTCTTTTAAAACAAGTCCCTTGAGATTCTGAAGATAGTCTAATTTACTCTAAAAACAAGAAAAGTGCAACAATTATGTCAAAAAGTTGTTCAATACAATGAGTTCTTGAATTAAGGTCTCTGGACATATTATAAAGAAACACATAGCTAATACTTCATTTTTTTTAAAAATGAAATGGCCTACATAGTTATAAGTCTGCCTTCATTTCAGGCAGGAAATTCAATCACTGTAAGAAGTCTCAGTATCTGTGAGATATTTTAAGTAATGAAGATATTTGTTGTCAGCTTTCTGAAATGTGGTGTGTTGACAACTTAGTAAAGGAAGCTTGATTTTGATTTTCCTCAGTCAAAAGCTGAGATCCCAAAGTTGGAGACATGGGGGACTTTATTATTTAGGAGAAGAACCTATTTCTGAATAACCAATGAAAAAAGTTTAAAGCATAAATATTTTTAAAATTTATTTAATTATTGTTCAAGTACAGTTTTCTGTCTTCTCCTCCCATCCCAGCCCATCCCCAAGTGCTCCCCACCTCCCTCCCATTTCCTCCCTGCCTTGGTTTTTGTCCATGTGTCCTTTATACTTGTTCCTGTGAATCCTTCTTTTAACCACCTTTGTGTTATTTTGGTTTTATTTTTGGTCTGAAAACTTTTCAGTTTTTTAAATTATATTTTATTGATTATGCTACTGTGGTTTCCCTGATTTTCCCCCCTGGGCTCCCCTCCACCCAGCACACCCACTCCCTCAGGCAATGCCCCCACCCTTTTTATGTCCTTGGGTCCTCTGTGTAAGTTCTTTGGCTCCTCCCCTTAGTATACTGTACTTCACATCCCCAAGGTTATTCTGTAACTATCTATTTGTACTTCTTAATCCCCTCACCTCTCATGCATTCTTCCACAGTCACCCTCCCATCTCTTTATCTTTAAACTTTGGCATTTCTTTTTGGTTTTATTTTATTATTTTACTTACTGTTCAGTTATG